TGCAGTAGGACTATAGAAGCCTGGAAGACCTAATGGGATGTTTTTAAGGATTAGGGCTGGAATTAACTTATATTGCTTCTCTTTATGTGTTATTGGCTAGACTCCAGGCATTTGGCCCCAATCTAATTGCAAGAGAAGCTGGGAAGTGAGAAGAGCAGAGGAATTAGGGATTAGCACCCATTGGTACTTTGGTTGTGTAATGCTTTACCTGTCATTTGGTAGCCCTTTATTTCTAGTCTTTTTGCATTTTTGTTCAAGTTTTCATTAAAATAGTAGCATCCAGCAGTTTTAAAACCTCTTTGATTGCAAATCCCACAGTAATAGCCAAGTCCTTGCAAGGGAAGGGCAGTTCTGAAGAAACAGTGTCAATGAAGCATGAATTATAAACTATTATATGTTATTATCCATCTTGCTATTGTTTTCTGTGTGCTCAGTCACCTAGTTGTGTCTGACTCCTTGTGACCCCATGGACTGCCTGCCAGGCTCCTCTATCCATAGGCTTTTCCAAGCAAAAATTCTGGAATGGGTTGCCATTTCCTCCTCCAGGGTGTCTTCCCAACCCAGGAATTGAACCCATGTCTCCTGTGGCTCCTGCATTGCAGGTGGAGTCTTTACTGCTCAACTGAGTTGTCTCTAAATGCCTCATAACTTGAGTGTCACTTCCATACTATCTTTTCACAACTCAAAAATGTTAGTTTCCCTGAAATGTTTTCCAGTGGATTCTGATTTTCCAAGTACTCTAAACCCCTAAAATTTCCTGCCAGATTATACTATTAGGAACAGAGAATTCCTTCAAGACTCAACCTGTGCTAGAAAGAAAATATCCTGCTAACTTTTCTAAATTAAGCTTGGAAGAGATATCCATCTACTGGCTCACTCTTAAGTTCTGGTAATTAAGTTCTCTGTAAAAATATCAAATCAAGAAAGCCTTCCGATGTATATCACATGTTGTATTTGATAGTGATATTTGATCAGTTTGTTTTAGGACTTGACTTTTTTGTTTAATGTCTCAGTAGTTGGCTAGTACAGTGGGAGAGGGATGTCATGGTTGCTGCCACACAAATGAGCCACTTGTGTGGGCATCTGTCAATTATATCTGCGCTGGTGTTCAAATTTATTTGTATCATGGAAACCTAGGGCCAAATACCAGAGGAGTCCTGGAAGCAACTCTGGCAAGCATAAATTTGATGGCAGCTTCATTATAATTACATTTCTTTGCATGGTTACTCAGCTGTATCAACATAATAGCTTTCCATCCTAGAGGCCAAATAAGATAGAGTGATATACAAGCTGCTCACTATAGCTCAACAAATTACATTATAATGGATGCTCTTTTCAACTGTTTTTCACCCTGTAATCAGTCCATTCTGGTCTTTCATAAGGAGGCAAAATATGGCTGTAGATATCTTTTTAAAGTATAGAGTATTGAGAATAATACTTTCTGTTCCTTAAAATAATCATGAGTCATGTGTTTGCTTTCAAATCTGGGTTATCTACTTTAATAGGTATTGGGACTGTATGTTACATGGGCGATGATAACAACAATCGTTGGTATTTAGTGAGCATTTACTATATGCCAGGAAGTGGGCTTTGTGTGTGCCTGTGTGCTAAGTCGGTTCAGTCGTATCTGACTCTTTGCAGCCCCATGGACTGTAGCCTTCCAGGCCCTTCTGTCCATGAGAGATTCTCCAGGCAAGAATATCAGAAGGTTGCCATGCCCTCCTCCAGGAGATCTTCCCGACCCAGATATCAAACCCACGTCTCTTATGTCTCCTGCATTGGCAGGCGGGTTCTTTGCCACTAGCACCACTGGGAAGCCTACATGTAACTTTTCCCTTAATCTTTGCAAACTCTATGATAGGTGTTTCAACTGAGGAAATTGAAACAGAGAAATGTTCACCTTGGTCAAGGTCACTAGGATAGTAAATAGTGAAGCAGAGAATTAAATTCATTCTCTAAGGTTTATGCTCTTAACTGTTTAAAACTCATTAATTGAGTGTGACTTAAATATGCTTTAGAAGTCCTTTTTGGTTATATTCACAGATCATAAAAGTAAAATGCTATTGGCTGATGGTAAATGAATTCATTTAAAAGTTTTTGCATCATTACATAGAATTTTACTAATTTATTATGGTTGTGAGTTGACATTGGTAGTGAAATATAGACTTCTCTTTATAGATTTATGATGAGATGAGATTTATGAATTGAAGAGATCTCTAAATATATTTCCTGCATCATTTGACATAAAACAGGGGCCCCCAAAGAGATGAGTACAGAAGACTCATATTTCTGGAGTCTTATGGACAATAATTGCTTGTCAGTTCATTCCTAATGATATCAAAATATCTTCTCATATTTAAGATCTTTTTCTATGTTTTACTTTCTCTAAAATATCTTGTTTCTCTCTCAGTTTGTTCTTTATGTTTTCACTTTGTCTTTTTTTCCCCCATGATTTAAGAATTAAGGAAAATTACAGAAATAAATAACTTAGCTAGTGAAAGTGTTGCATGAATTCTTACCCCAAGATTTAGCCAAGAGTAGAACTTTATGAATGCTCCAGTTACCAACATTATTATTAATTATTATTATGTATGTTTACAAACATAGGCTCATATTATACATTCTGTTCTACATTGCATCATTACATAGAATTTTACTAATTTATTATGGTTGTGAGTTGACATTGGTAGTGAAATATAGACTTCTCTTTATAGATTTATGATGAGATGAGATTTATGAATTGAAGAGATCTCTAAATATATTTCCTGCATCATTTGACATAAAACAGGGGCCCCCAAAGAGATGAGTACAGAAGACTCATATTTCTGGAGTCTTATGGACAATAATTGCTTGTCAGTTCATTCCTAATGATATCAAAATATCTTCTCATATTTAAGATCTTTTTCTATATTTTACTTTCTCTAAAATATCTTGTTTCTCTCTCAATTTGTTCTTTATGTTTTCACTTTTTCTTTTTTTCCCCCATGATTTAAGAATTAAGGAAAATTATAGAAATAAATAACTTAGCTAGTGAAAGTGTTCCATAAATTCTTACCCCAAGATTTAGCCAAGAGTAGAACTTTATGAATGCTCCAGTTACCAACATTATTATTAATTATTATTATGTATGTTTACAAACATAGGCTCATATTATACATTCTGTTCTACAGCTTGGATTTTTAAAGTTATTTATTTATTTGGTTGTGGCACTGGGAGTCTCTAGTTGTGGCATTGTTGCTTCACATCATATGGGATCTTAGTTCCCTGATCAGGAATTGAACCTGGTTCCCCTGCATTGCAAGGTGAATTCTTAACCAGTGGACCACTAGGGAAGTCCCTGATTTATTTTTTAACTTAGGAATATATCTTGGTCGACTTTATATGTCAGGGTATGTAGATCTATCTCATTTTTTCTTAACATCGGCATGGTGCTTTGTTATATGGATGTGCCAGTGCTTATTTCATGTTTCACATGTTGGTGGATTTTTGCATTGTTTTGAATATTTTGCTTCAGTATTAAAAAAGACAGTGAGACCATTCACAATAGAAGATATATGAATGGCCTATTGTTACATGGAAAGATTTTGAATAGCATTAATCATCAAAGGAATGCAAATTAAAGCCTCAGAGAAACATCATATACCCATCAGAATGGCTACCATTAAAAAGATTAACAAGGGACTTCTGTGGTAGTCCAGTGGTTAAGAATCAGGTCCCAATGCAAGGGACCCAGGTTTGATTCCTGGTCAGGGAACTAGATCCTGCATGCTGCAAGAAAGATTGAAGAGCCCACGTGCTGCAACTGAGACCCAGTGCAGCCAAGTAAATAAATGTAAAAAAGATTAACAATACTTAGTGTTTCGAGGATGTGGAGCTTGTAGAACTCACACGTATTATTGTACAGTCACTTTGGAAATCTGTTTGGCAGTTTCTTAGAAAGTTAAGCATAACCTTACCGTATCACCCAGCCATTCCACTAGGTATTTACTCAAGAGAAGTGAAAACATGTCCAACAAAGACTTGTACATGAATGTTCATAGCAGCTTGATCCACTGGAACCTAAAACTGGAGCCTGCTCAGTAGGTTAGAAAAGATAAAGAAAAATGTATATGCATAGAACAGGATATTACCTATACAAATTCAACAACATGGATGAGTCTCAGTATCATTATGCTGAATGGAAGAAGCCAGACAGAAAAGGGTACATGCTGTATTATTTTAGTTAGATAAGATTTTAGAAAATGCAGATTAAACTGTAGTGACAGAAAGCAGGTCAGTGGTTGCCTGAGGTTGGGAATGGAGGGAAGGGTAGTCTGCAAAGGGCAGGTGGAAACTGTCAGGTGATGGAAAGTTCTATTTGTGAGTTTGGAAAATGTGTAATGACATGTATCTATCATTATGGTATCATACAGAGTATTTTCAGTGTGCTAAAAGTCCTCTGTGCTCAGTCTCTGCAACCCTCTCTTCTCCAACTTTTCATTTTTCATTAGACAAACTATTTTACATGTAGCTTTGGACTTTATTAAATGGGGAATAATCTGGTGTTAGAGGCTTTAAAATTTTTACTGATTGATAAATTGGATTAGTCACGGGTTCTGTGTTATACACAGTTCCCTTTAGTAAGGAAACTTACTAAAGTTTCTGAAGGAAAATTTATTTATTTATTTGGTAGTAATAGAGAGTACTTTCAGAATATGAAGAATTCTGCATTCAGTTCAGTTGCTCAGTTGTGTCTGACTCAACCCCGTGAGCTGCAGAACGCCAGGCCCCCCTGTCCAACACCAACTCCCGGAGTTCACCCAAACTCATGTCCATTGAGTCGGTGATGCCATCCGACCATCTCATCCTCTGTCATCCCCTTCTCCTTCTGCCCTCAATCTTTCCCAGCATCAGGGTCTTTTCAAATGAGTCAGCTCTTCGCATCAGGTGGCCAAATTATGCATTATTCCTTCCTAAAATTAGTAATCAATTATTTTCAAGTATTTTCTCTGTTTTGCCAGATACTGACAATGTGAAGCCATTGGAGGGTGTAAAGATTCTGGATCTAACGAGGTGTGTATTGGTTTATCTATGTTTCGGTGATTGAGTTTTCCCCTTCTCTAAAAAAGCATTTGTTTTTTGGATTATAAGAGGGTGCTTGTAAGCTTATCATTGAAATTTTGGAAAGACAAATCAAGGAAATTGCCTATAATTTCATTATTCTAAGGACAATTCATATAATATTTATACATTTCTAATCTGTGTATCTATGTATACTTTAAAAAAATGAAACCGTATTGAAATTATAGGTTTATTCACATTTTAAGCATGTGTTATATTTTGGCTATTTTTCCCATGTCATTCAAAATTCAACAAAGATATACGATAATATTTTATTATATAGTTGTCACATAATTACTTAATCATCCCCCAGTGTTTTTCTACTATAAACTAGACTCCCTTGTACATAAATCTTGGCCTTAGAAAATCTTTCAATTTCTTTTTTAGGGTAGAAGTATGGAACTAGAATTACTGCATCAAAGGGAATATACTTTTTAAAGCTCTTGATACATATGGCCAAATCACTTTTATAATAGTTTTAATTCTTACTAACATTATATGAGCTTGTCTGTGTTGATGGACCATTAAGAAACAAATAAATATAAAAATCTTAAAGATGGTAATGAATTTGTTTATCACTGTTAACATTGTAGAGTACTGGCGGGACCTTTTGCTACTATGAATTTAGGAGATCTTGGAGCAGAAGTTATAAAAGTGGAAAGACCAGGTAAAACTACTGTTCTCTTTAAAGCATAGAAACAAGCTAATAAATATTTTTAATGGTTCTTTAAATATCCATGTACCTGTATGTGGGACGAGGAAAGAATTGAAATGAAATGATTACTTTTCTTCTCCATTCTTTATTTTCCTCTGAACCTATACTAAAGTTAGATCTCTTTCTACTCTTTACATGCCAAGGGTTGAGGCCTAAGCCAGTTTCTGGAAGCCTCTGGTAGAAACACTGGGGCTTCCCTGCTGGCTCAGATGGTTAAGAATCCGCTTGTAATGTGGGAGACCTGGGTTCGATCCCTGGGTTGGAAAAATCCCCAGGAGGAGGGCATGGCAACCCACTCCAGTGTTCTTGCCTGGAGAATCCCCATGGACAGAGGAGCCTGGTGGGTTACAGTCCATGGGGTCCCAAAGAGTTGGACACGAATGAGCGACTAAGCACACTGGTAGGAACTGACATGAGTGTGATACCAGCGATGTTAATGACATTTGGTGCTGGGCACAGTTCTAAGCACTTTGCCTATTTTAATTTATTCAATCTTTACAACAACCTGTCACCTGTTATTATTCCTAGATTATAAATAAGAACACAGAGACCTAGAGAGATCAAAGGGCTTGTCCATGGTCACACAGCTAGTAAGGAATATTGGGACATTCATCTCTGATCCTGGTCCTCCTGAGCCCCACACAAGAATTGCTGCTGAAACTGAGGTTAGAGTGGGCCCGGCCACTTTCCCTCACTGTGGGATGAAGGGGAGCCGGGGCCCAGGGGAAGGGAAGAGGGGAGAAATAGGTTGTAGAAGAAGGAGGAAGGAAAGGAATCAAAGTCCTTCCAAAAGGAACCCAAATACCCCAACCTCAGTCATTCTTTTCTATTTCTAATAAAAGAAACATTTTCCCATTTCGTACTTTTAAATATTTTAAGGGAAAAACACTGGAGCTAAGATGAATTCTTTGCTTTTATGATTTTCATCTGACAACTTTCCTTTCTTCTCTTCCCTTTGTCCACCAAATAAATCTATACTGGGTGCATAATTCTCACTCTTATTTGGTGCCTTCTCAACTCTTGGATGTTTAATTCATGTTACTATTGATGAAGCTACTTAGAGAAGTGTCATATTACGTTCCTTTTCTCTCTAATAAGCACTTAAACCAGGAGTCCACGTTCTCTGCATCGTCTCATAAACAGCTTGTTTATGAAGGTTTCAAACCTTGTTTGGAAGGTTTCAAAAGTCAGTGTTCTTATTTATCCTTCAAGATCTGATGCTGGGACTTCCCTGGTGGTCTGATAGTCAGAATTCTGTGCTTCTACTGCAGGAGGCACTGGTTTGATCCCCGGTCCAGGAACTAAGATTCCACATCCCATATGCCATGTACCATGGCAAAAAAAAAAAAAAAAAAAAAAAAAAAAAAAAATTCTGATGCTTATGGATCTGGAACAGAATTCTCAAATCAATGAAAATGGTCCAGCCTTCTTGAATAGTGTGCATGTTTCTATCAGACCCATAAGAAACTAGATTGCAATTACATCAACATATGAATTCACCATAAGTGATTAAACACTATAAAGTTGAATACCTGATCTGGAAGATTCAACTTTCTGCTAAATCTTCTTAGGAGGCCCAAGCAGTTAGCAAAAGATTCTCTGACCAGCACGAGGGATATTATATATTTTATATTACATTTTTCTGACCCTGTCTTTGTCAGGCTCCAGGTGATAGAAGAGCCTGGTGAATCCTGCTTTCCAGAGATAGTGCTTCACTTATCCAGTCCATGATATTTACTGCTTTTGGTCATTGCTGGATACACGCTGAATAATGTTCACTTTCTAACTGAACATGTTTTTTTCTTTCTTTGTTTAACAGTTGCCACAAAACTTCTAATTACCACCTTGCCATTCAGTTTCAATGCCACACACTTTCTAATTTCAACCATGGGGTCTTTCCGTTTACAGGCAGAATAGTCAATCTAATTCCTCTTGCTATTTCCCTTGGTCTCTAGGTTAAAGATTTGTACAGTTGGCCCTTTGTGTCTGGTTGGTTGAGTCTGTGGACTTGTGAACTTTAATGATCTGTGGTTGGTAGAATTGGGGGTGCTGTACCTGTGGGTATAGAGGGCCAGTTGTAGGACTTGAGCATCCGCCAATTTTGGAGTCCTGGTTGGTGCTGGAACCCTTGAGGATAATGAAGGAATGACAGTATTTTTATTAATTTTAGAAATCACTCTTCCCTATTTGCTTAAACCTGTTTCTCCATTGTTATTTTTTCCCTTTCCACCCTAGGGGACCCTTTCCTTATATAGAACTTTATTAAGTCCCATAGCTATACACTAGGCATCAAACTTTTTTCCTAGCAGGGTTTATTGCTCTTTTCCTAACTGATTTCTCTCTTTCCTTTAACCCTTCTGCTCAGTACATTTTAATGTTCATATATTTTGTTTTTTTCTGAGATAATTATTCAACAGATATGAGGAAAAGTGACTTGGCAGTATTTTCAAATTTTAGTGGAGAGCTAGTCTTTTTTAGTACCCACTTCTCCAGTTCTTAAATTAAATTTAGTTGGTGGCTCAGATAGTAAAGAATCTGCCTGCAGTGCAGGAGATCCGGGTTCGATCCCTGGGTGGGGAAGATCCCCTGGATGAGGGAATGGCTACACATGCCAGTGTTCTTGCTGGAGAATTCCATGGACAGAGGATCCAGGCAGGCTACAGTCCGTGGGGTCGCAAAGAGTCGGACACCACTGAGCAACTAGCACTTTCCCACTTCCACTTTCTCAGTTCTTGAATTAAATTTGGTTGTAGTTTTCTGACTTGGGACTTAGATTATTCTTATTTGAGTAATCAAAGAACATATCAAGCTTAAGTATATTTTTTTCCCCTTTTTTTTGAGTTGGTTGGTGAGTGTAAACTGTGTGCTGACAGGGCCAGGGAGGTAACCTAAATGAATGAAGTGGTCTGGGCATCAAATGATGCTGCTGTTACTTCAAAGTTGTCCCCAGGAGGCAGGGATATGAGGACAGGGATGCTGGTCTTTATTTACTGCTGTGTCTGCTCTGCAGAGAGTGGTGCTTATGACCTAGTAGGCACCCAGTAAATCTTTGCTGAATGAATGAATATTTTGAAATATCATTTAAAAAAAGAAGTCTGAATTTTTATCTACTGCTTCTGGATTTTGAAATCATGGCAGATGGTTAAAAACTTTAAATAGTGTGTGGGTCAAATAAAACACGTTTCTCAAATTGCTAGTTTTACAAGCTTGTGACTGTTAACCTTTGATGTGCCATCAGCACTCCCTTTCTGCTTCTCTTAAACCCTGGTTTGTATACTGGGGATTATATACTGGGGATGGGCTTCCCTGGTGTCTCAATGGTAAAGAGTCTACCTGTAATGCAGGAGATGTGGGTTTGATCCCTGGGTTGGGAAGATCCCCTGGAGAAGGAAATGGTAACCCACTTCAATATTCTTGCCTGGGAAATCCCACAGATAGAGGAGCCTGGTGGGCTGCGGTCCATGGGGTTGCAAAAGAGTTGGATAAGACTTAGCGACTAAACAACAACAACAACAACAACAACAACAACAACAACATACACGAGGCACAGGCCTGGTAGGGAAGCCATGTGGGCGTGCACGCTTGATTGCTTCAGTTGTGCTTGACTCTGTGCAACCCCGTGGACTATAGACTGCCAGACTCCTCTGTCCATGAGATTGTCCAGACAAAAATACTGGAGTGGCTAGCTGTGCCCTCCTACAGGGGATCTTCCTGACGTAGGGATCAAACCTGCATCTCCTCCCTTGCAGGCAGATTTTTTTTTTTACTGATAAGCCACTGGGAAAGCCCCAGGAAAGCCATGTGGGCCTCCAATTTAGATTTCTGACATTATCTCCACCCGAGAGATGAATGTGATCAGGGATGAATGTGATCATTTAAAATAAGCTAATTTTAACCTTATCTTGATGTTGCTTCCTTAAAATTTTTTTTTTTTTTTAATGTATTGAGACCTTCAGAAAAATAGAAGTGGCTGGACTGTCTCCTGACTCTGGGAGGTCTTGGCTGGTTTTGAAGATTCATATTCACACATACATTTTCCTTGAAGACTCTAACTGGTCTATTACTGGGAGGTTGTTTTTGTGGACTCTTGCACTTTTCTTTTTCCCTGATGTTTTGAACATGTGTTCAGTTTGATACTTAGCATTTATTGCTTTGTGTTGTTTCCAGTTCATCCCCATTAGAACTAATGCTTCTTTTGTCCTCTTGTTCTCTTCCCTTCTCTTGTGAGGTTTTTTTTCTGTTTTTCTTTTTAAATCAAGGAGTCTATTGTTTAGCTTCTGTTTTGTTTTCTAAAAGGCTGTGTCTGTTTTTCTTTATCAGTTTCAGTGGGTAAAGTTTAATGGCCTAATAAATTAACTATGTCATTTAAATGAGATTAGAATTTAAACTTTAACCCATACTTACAAATTATCTCTTATTCGAGGGGCTAGTAATACTTAGGTAGTGTTTAGTTTCTAGTATCTATATTTAATTGAACTTATAAAATTTTCAATTTGTTATACTAATTTGTGCCTATTAATTGTTAATTCACCTTCTGTGTTCCATCTACATTGTTTGCTTTTTGTGCAAAGAAAAATTTTTTTTGTAACTCTGTAGTGTTGTCTTTGAATCAAACACAAGTACTTTTCAGGTCATTTGAAGTAGATGTCTCAAAGAAAATACCCTATTTTTGATGGTTTTAAACATTTTACTTTGAAGCAAGACCCTGATGACTAAAATTTTATTCTAAGCTAGTATTTTAAATTATTTACATTTGCTCTGCAGTTGCTTATTTTGCTTTTTCTGGTTTATTACTGCAGGATTAAAAAAATGGATTTATTTATTTATCATTATTTTATACCTAGCCTCAAATACCAGTTTATAAAGACTTACTTGTCATCTTTCTGATTTACATTATATATAACAAATTCTTTCCAGACCTAACACTTTGCACATTTAGTGCCAAAAACACTGAACGAGCTGACTTGAATTAGGAGATTAAGTTTTTCCCTTCAAACTGGCATTTGGATTTTCTGTTCTGGATTTTTACTTTCAGGTTAGATTTTAGTGAAAGAAGATATGGGAGGATTTAGTGATTTACATGAACAGGCAAAGAATTTGGGTAGTTCTAACAAGCTCCCATGGCTCCTTTAGGTTGCTAATTCCACTGAACTAAGCTGATCTTCCTAGTCATCTGTGAACTTATGAATGAGTAAATTTGTTGGCTTGAAATATCTCTTGATGTTCCAAGGTTAAATAGCTCATACTGTTATTTTCAGGAGCTGGTGATGATACACGAACTTGGGGTCCACCTTTTGTGGGGACAGAAAGTACTTATTTTCTCAGTGTTAACCGAAATAAAAAAGTAAGAATATTACCCTCTTTTTGCTTTCTTTCTATAATCCTCTTGTAGTAACAAAACTTTGATATCATTGTGGCTTGTTTATTTCTACCCTTTTTTTGTAGATATAAGTAATATTTTCAAGAAGTGACATTTTATTCTATTCATTTGCCAGTTACAAAATAGAAACAGTAGACCTTTTTATTTTCCTTTTCTACTAACTTAAAACATATTGTGAGAATTTATAATGATTTTTGAATGGAAATAATTTTATTAAGGAGAGAAATCACTTGATTCTTTTATGTTTGTTATTCTTTTGGAGATTGCTTATTGTCTACATTTGGGATCATTATTTGAAATCATTTTACTGTAATCCTTGCTATCATTTTGACATATCCAAATTGCAAATAAAATCAGTAAAAATGAATTAAATGTTTCTTTCTAAGGAAAATGCATTTACTTTAAGAGGAGAATCGATGATATGAATGGCTCTCTTAGTGAACTGTCAGTAATTTTTCTTTATCATAAAGAAAACTCTTTATGATATTATTTTAATATGCTTATTTTTAATTTTTAGAGTATAGCTGTTAATATCAAGGATCCAAAAGGGGTGAAAATCGTCAAAGAGGTACAGTATGCTCTATAGAATGCATCTTACCCCCTGGGTTGTAATTAGGGATTTGAATATCAGAGTAAAAGTGTTTAAAACATGATTTTGTTGGCAGTCTGAAAGTTCGTGAACTGTGAACTTTGAAACTGCTGAAATTTGAAACCTGGGTCTACATCACTGTAGAGCCCAATGTTTTTCTAACATTTATTCAGATGGTTAATGCATCCAGACCTGATCTTGGCATCTTTCCTTGAGGGGACAGAGCAGCACAGTGGTTAGGGGCATACCTTAGTGTTCTCTTCTGGGATTTAAATCCTGCCTTCTTTAATTGCTAGTCAGGTGACTTCAACAGGTTACTTAACTTCTTTATGTATCAGTTCCCTTATTTGTAAAATGAGGGCAATAATAATAACTACTTTTTAAAGTTTTTATTTTATATTTATATGGCTGAGTGGGATGTGGGATCTTAGTTCCCTCATCAGGGATCAAACCTGTGACCCATGCAGTGGAAGTGTAGAGTCTTAATCACTGGTTCTCCAGAGAAGTCCAATAATACCCACTTCTTAGGGTTGTTAGAATTGAATGAATATGTGTAAAATGTATAGAAGGGTGCCTGCCATAGTTAGCACTCATTAAGCATTAGCTTTTCATTCTAATCCCAAAGAAAGGCAATGCCAAAGAATGCTCAAACTACCAAACAATTGCACTCATCTCACATGCTAGCAAAGTAATGCTCAAAATTCTCCAAGCCAGGCTTCAACAGTACGTGAACTGTGAACTTCAAATGTTCAAGCTAGATTCAGAAAGGCAGAGGAACCAGAGATCAAATTGCCAACATCCATTGGATCATTGAAGAAGCAANAGATTGAAGGTGGGAGGAGAAGGGGACGACAGAGGATGAGATGGTTGGATGGCATCACGGCCTCAATGGACATGAGTTTGAGTAAACTCTGGGAGTTGGTGATGGATAGGGAAGCCTGGTGGGCTGCAGTCCATGGGGTCTTAAAGAGTCAGACATGACTAAGCAACTGAACTGAACTAAACTGAAGCATTAGCTATTATTATTATTCCCAATGCATGTGAAGTTGAATTCATCATATGAAATAAAACTTGTTTGTCATCTTTGTTAAAGCTTGAAATCTAATGTAATGGTTGTTAATCTACCTGATCAGAGAAACAAATCTACTTATTTTCTAGCAAAGTATCAACTTTAGCTTAATTGTTCTGATGTTACTTTCCTCATTTTCCTAATTGAAGGATAATGTCTTCTAATTATTAAGATCAGAATCATTGACCATCCACTTTGGTTCTGTTGGATCAATCTAATAAATTTAGAATTTTACTAAATATATGTTGAACTGAAGCTTGATAATTTTCCTAATCTTACTGCCCTGTTTCCTATATCTTTTCTGAAGTATACCTTAGGTTTGTTTACTTGTTGTTTTTTCTTTTTCACTTGAAATCATGTATGATTTTTCTAAATTGTTCTATATTATTGTTGCTCTGCCTTGTTATTCTATGACAGCTACCTTCACCTTGGATCCAACTCCCATGTCTTCATTCTCAGGCCCTTCTTTTTGTCTTTTCAGTAGTTGTCATTGTGATGATGATGTTGTGATGATGGTGATGAATCACCAAGGATATTGTTCTTAATTCTTCTCTTTCTGGTTTAGGTTTCTCAGTTCCACCTTCAGTGTTCATAGTTCCTGCTCCTTTGCTTCCATTTTAGAATATTTTGATATTTTATTTCTGACAAAATGTGGTCCACTGGAGAAGGGAATGGCAAACCACTTCAGTGTTCTTGCCTTGAGCACCCCATGAAAGACGAAAAGGTCTCACACTGAACGATGAACTCCCCAGGTTGGTAGGTGCCCAATATGCTACTGGAGAAGAGTGGAGAAATAACTCCAGAAAGAATGAAGAGATGGAGCCAAAGCAAAAACTGCTCAGTTGTGGATGTGACTGGTGATGGAAGTAAAGTCCGATGCTGTAAAGGACCATATTTCATAGGAACCTGGAATGTTAGGTTCATGAATCAAGGTAAATTGAGAAGTGGTCAAAAGGAAATGGCAAGAGTGAACATCGACGTTTAGGAATCAGTGAACTAAAATGGACTGGAATGCGCGAATTTAGCTCAGAAGACCATTATATCTACTACTGTGGGCAAGAATCCTTTAGAAGAAATGGAGTAGCCCTCATAGTCAACAAAAGAGTCCAAAATACAGTACTTGGGTACAATCTCAAAAATGACAGAATGATCTCTGTTTTTTTCCAAGGCAAACCATTCAACATCACAGTAATCCAAGTCTATGCCCTAATATTTAATGTTGAAGAAGCTGAAGTTGAATGGTTTATGAAGACCGACAAGACCTTCTAAAACTAACACCCAAAGAAGATGTCCTTTTCATTATAGGGGACTGGAATGCAAAAGTAGGAAGTCAAGAGTTACCTGGAGTAGCAGGCAGATTTGGTCTTAGAGTGCAAGATGAAGCAGGGCAACTGCTAATAGAGTTCTGCCAAGAGAACACACTGGTCACAGCAAACACCCTCTTCCAGCAACACAAGAGAAGACTCTACACATGGACACCACCAGATGGTCAACACCGAAATCAGATTGATGATATTCTTTGCAGTCAAAGATGGAGAAGCTCTATACAGTCAGCAAAAACAAGACCAGGAG